TATATATATATATATATATATATATATATATATATATATATATATATATATATATATATATATATATATATATTGGTAATAAGCATTATAGTGTTATATATACTAAAGTATTTTTATTTTTTGAGCACAGCATCAGAAATGTATTAAAAAATTTATTGCATCTTAACGTACTTCTCGAGGTATGGTCAAAAGGAATCCTGCTTCAGAAATAACTTCTCTCCCTCAGTCATCTTTCCATCAAGCAAGTTTCACCAGAGGTGGCAGTAATGCACCAAAATGTTTGTTGTCGAACACCATAAAACAGGAAGAAGTACGGAACCCCGGAAGGGACGTAGTGGGGGAGAAAAAAAATAATGGGTGAAAGAAAAAAATGGGTGGGAGGAAAATATATATTTCTAAGTTTTTTGCGTTCTCTCACAACGTTTTGCGTTCCCTCGCAAAGATGTTTTGCGTTCTCTCGCAAAGTTTTGCGTTCCCTCGCAAAGATGTTTTGCGTTCCCTCGCAAAGTTTTGCGTTCCCTCGCAAAGATGTTTTGCGTTCCCTCGCAAAGTTTTGCATTCCCTCGCAAAGATGTTTTGCGTTATCTCGCAAAGATGTTTTGCGTTATCTCGCAAAGATGTTTTGCGTTATCTCGCAAAGATGTTTTGCATTCCCTCGCAAAGATGTTTTGCGTTATCTCGCAAAGATGTTTTGCGTTCCCTCGCAAAACTGTTTCTCCACAAACACTTCCTGTTCACTTCACTCACGTAAACCCTCCCGTTTTTGCCGAAATTCTCCCGTATTTTACCATTCTACCCCACTTTCTTTACATTACTGTGCGTATGCTACCTATGAACCAGTGAATGCATGTATAAGCGCTGACTGACAGACGCGCTTCGTACAATAAACTGATCCCAGATCAGCGTCTGTACACGCCATTTACAGAGGAGCGGGTGTATGTTTAAACAGACAAATACACTGAATAATATGAAACATCTCCGTCCTGCATGTTTTATTTTAAACAGCTTATTTTCTCTTAAATGAGCACAAACAGTTTCTAAAGTAATGGACTGCTTTCATTATAGATCTGTGCATTCTTACAGAGACACCCCTGTTATCAAACTAAACAAACATGAGATTCATTTGCTGCGCACTTGTTTGATAACAGAAGTGTCCCTTTAAATGGCGCGTACAGACGCTGATCTGGGATCAGTTTTTATTGTATGGAGCGTCTGTCAGTCAGCGCTTATACATGCATTCACTGGTTCAAAGGTTGCAAAGTGAAAGGCGACAATCAGGGCCGGATTAACCAATGGGCCTTATGGGCACAGGCCCAGGGGCCCGTGCGCACTAGGGGCCCCTGCGAGGGGGGAGAAAAAAAGACAATTTCGGAGAGTCTTTTTAGGCTAATTGCAAATAGCGCATCTAGTTGGACTAAGCTATTCAGGGTTTACGCCCATCAATGCCTGATTGATAGAGACAAGATGAGCAAGATGACACGAAATAACACAGCCGCAGTGGCGCACCTTGTAAGGCACACGGCATCATCTTTTGACGCGATTAATCATAACATCGGTTCGAATCCATCAGTTGAACTCGTGCTACTTTTTTTTCTCCCCATTACATATCAGATTAGAAATATATTTATTTTTAACAGGAAAGAAACATTTTTAAAAAATAATGCAAATGTGATATAAAGTCACAAGTGTCTCGTGGGTATTTAATAATGTTTAGCCTTATTAAAGGCGCCTGCCGCGCCTCCCTCTCTTCAAAAACTCTATTGCTCAGACAACTGTATTTCCTCTGAGCAAAAAAATCGCGATCACATATCAATATTATTATTATATTTAAATTGCCTTTCTTTCTTTAACTAAACAGAATGCTGTAATTGGTCAAGCGCGGAAACGTCAGTTTTGTAATAACCCGCACTAAACTGAGCGGACTGTAGTGTAACGTTATATCTGTAATAGATCAAAAATGAGTGGACAAGTGGATTTAGCAAACGCGAAAGAAAGAGGAGAGGAGGCATCTTTATTGAGGCATTTTCCATACACACCTTCTTTAAACAGACCCGTGATCAGGAGAATGAGGGTACAGAAGAAGACGTTATGGTAACTTTAAATGATGAGAAGCTAGCATTAAACCAGGCGGAGGAGGCTAACGGCAGCGCAGCGCGGACTGGATTCATCGTGTGAGAGACAGACAGAAAGGGAGAGAGAAAGAGAGAGAGAGAGGGAGAGAGAAAAGCCCAGAAGAGGAGAGAGAGGGGAGAGAAGAGGTATAGTGTCTGTGATTTCGGATACTTTTAGGTTTATAATCAAGTCTTCATCACGAGAAGAGTAGAGAAAATACAGGGAGAGGAGGAGAGAGACAGTAAATCAGTGTTTGAATTATGAAAGACTTAGATTCATAGAACTGGATTGGAGAAGCATTGTGCGTTATATGCCATGGCAATAATATGCTTTATAAGTTTGTAAAAGCAATACACTAAATTACCCTTAAAAAAATTATATATATATATATATATATATATATATATATATATATATATATATATATATATATATATATGTAGTTTTATTAGTATTTTTATTTAATGCTTTGAAAAATAATTTAAATCTTTGCAGACTATAAATACATATGTACTTATATCATTTATTTAAATATGTGGGCAACAAATTATAGATTCATTTTATTTAAAAATTATTATATTATTCTTATTTTTTAAATTCAACTATAGGGGTGCGGCCAGGTAGGGGGCCTTACAAGATAATGTGCCCAGGGGCCCCTGAGTTCTTAATCCGGGCCTGGCGACAATCAGCGCACAGTAATGTAAAGAAAGTGGGGTAGAATGGTAAAATATGGGAGAATTTCAGCAAAAACGGGAGGGTTTACGTGAGTGAAGTGAACAGGAAGTGTTTGTGGAGAAACAGTTTTGCGAGAGAACGCAAAACATCTTTGCGAGGGAACGCAAAATATCTTTGCGAAGGGAACGCAAAACATCTTTGTGAGGGAACACAAAACATCTTTGCGAGATAACGCAAAACATCTTTGCGAGAGAACGCAAAAACTTAGAAATATATATTTTCCTCCCACCCATTTTTTTCTTTCACCCATTTTTTTTTTCCACCCAGCCAATTTTTTTCTCCTCCACTACGTCCCTTCCGGGGTTCCGTAAAGAAGAAATCATCTTCTCCCCATCATATGGATTTACTTTCTTCGGCTAGACACCGGCCTCACAGCTCAGTGAATGTCAGTGCCGTCACTTATTGAACCGCGATTGGTAAATGTAGCTACTGCGCTACTTGACTAATAAAATAGCTTCGCTACTGAAAAACTATTTGATTTAGAAAGTAGCGACGCTACCGCCACGCTACTGAGAAATGTAGTTAAGTAAGTAGCATCACTACTTGTAGCGACGCTATTGCCCAACACTGCAATTATATTATTTCAAACTACTAAAATGTCAATAAAAGTCACTATGTTAAACTGTAGAGTAGAATCAGCATAAAAAGTGGACAGAGCAGATATCAACATCCCATTCACAACCTCAAATAAATGGAAAACACTTGTAAATCACAAAATATGGAAACTTTTACAGTGTATTATTATTATTTACATTGTATACGGTGTATATGCTGAGCACAGTATATAGATATATAATATAGTTGTAATGTGAAGTGATGCTCAAGGCCAGCGCGTCCATATAGGCAACCTAGGTAGTCGCCTAGGGTAGCAGAATAGTGAGGATGGCAAACGCACTCCCCAACGCCCCCCTACCGCCCACCCCCACGGTCCTCACACTCATCCGCGACAAACCCCTCCCCCCCTGGTCCCCACTATCATCCTGCGACAATGCAACCCCGACGGTGCCCACTTTCATCCTGTGATAACCCACCTCCTGGCGGTCTTCACCTCATAAACCGATCACTTTTATTTTCACTTTCGGCTTGAGGGCGGCATGATAATCCTTTGCCTAGAGCGGCAGTTCAGCTTGCTCCGGCCCTGGCGACGCTGACAACAGAGAGGTACAGATCCAAACGCAGGCTTATTGAGAATGGTCAGGCAAGCAATGGTCAATACAGGAACAAACTAATGTATACAGGCAATCCAGAGTCGTGGTTGATGAACAGGCAAATGGTCAGTGTAGGCAGCAGACATCGTAAACAAATAAACAAGGGTCAAAAACATGGCAAGGAAAACGTGTCGTAATGTTCACAATCAGTTCAACAAGACTTAACATAGATATGTGTGTGTGTATGTGTGTAAGTGCTCTCTTTATAGTCCATGTAATTAGTTCATGAGTGGCTTCAGCTGTGAGTGTTTGCAATCAGACAGGATCTAGGCCAGATGTGTGAGTGGTGCATGACTGGATCTTGTAGTTCTTTTGCTGGCAGATTTGTAGTTCATTAGCGACCGGTGTGTTTACCAAAAATCTGCACAGGCTGGATCACTGGTGATCGTGACAAAAGTTTATATATGAAGTATATTTCACTCAACAAAATATCTCTGCACTGCAAAAAAGGCTTTTCTTATATGGAGTTTTTGTCTAGCTTCCAAATATCTAACAATTCTGAAATCAAGAAGCTTTTTCTAGACAAGTGAAAAATTTTCAGAAATGATATTTACAAAGTGAGTTTTTCTTTATATCTTGCAAAATAATATACCAATAGGGTAAGAAAAATAATATTATATTAAAACTAAAACAAGATTATTTTGCTTACTCCACAGAGACAATTTCTTTATTTATAACACACATTTTGTTGAAAAAATGGCAGTCTGTGCAAATTTACAAACTGCAAATCAGATCTTTTTCAAAAACCAATGCTTTTTAAATATGTTTGATGCACTTTGTCATGCACAAAACCCATTTGCAGTTTCCAACAATTTTCCTTTGCTCACTGAAATCTTAAACGAGACTTAAAACATGTCTCTGTCTTCAGGTCTGTTTTGCATGTGTGGATGGAGAGGAGTTCAGACTGGCGCAGATCTCAGGCCTCCACATCGTCACTCATGCAGATGAACTGGAGGAGCTCATTAACTATTACCTGGTAAACAGCCTTCATCATAATCATCATCATCATCATCTCAGTCTGTGTTTGAGGTCTGGGCATGTTTTTGATGTCTGCTCTCTGGCTTTAAGGATCGTGGGTATTTCGAGGAGCTGATTGTCCTTTTAGAAGCGGCTCTGGGTTTGGAGCGAGCGCATATGGGCATGTTCACTGAACTCGCCATACTGTACTCCAAATACAAACCCCAGAGGATGAGGGAACATCTGGAGCTCTTCTGGTCCCGCGTCAACATCCCGAAGGTGCATCTCTTTAACCTTAGTGTGCTGTTGGGGATGTTTTTATCCACTTTGGGGTGATTTTGAGGCTTAATTTTGAGGCACAACTTTCTCTGTGTTTCAGCAAATGGACTGATTTTTGATGACAGATCTTATTTTGACACATATTTTGGGAAAATGCTTTGAAAATTTTCAAGAACTCAACAATACACTCTGAGCAAATTGACTTCCCTTTCGTTATGTTGGGGGCTGTTTTTGCCCTATTGACTTTCATTATAATCACATGTTTTGATTGCAAAGCCATGACAGCATATAATCATGCATTCTCGATTGTTGCTGGTTTATTTTGTTGGGAAGAGGTAAAATTGGTAATTTCTACTGTTGATCAGTTGCAGTGCAAAAAATTGACCGAACTACCTACATTTGTGCTCATACACTTACCGGACTTTGCTGACTGCTCATCCATGATGCAAATCTCCCATTCCACCACATCCCAAAGGTGCTCTATTGGATTGAGCTCTGGTGACTGTTGAGGCCATTTGAGTACAGTGAACTCATTGTCATGTTCAAGAAACCAGTCTGAGATGATTCACGCTTTATGACATGGTGTGTTATCCTGCTGGAAGCAGCCATCAGAAGATGCAGACACTGTGCTCATAAAGGCATGGACATGGTCAGCAACAATACTCAGGTAGGCTGTGGTGTTGACACGATGCTCAATTGGTACTAATGGACCCAAAGTGTGTCAAGAAAATCTCCGCCACACCATTACACCACCACCAGCCTGAACCATTGAAACAAGGCAGGATGAATCCATGCTTTCATGTTGTTGAGGACAAATTCTGAGCCGTCCATCTGAATGTGTCAGCAGAAATGGAGACTCATCAGAGCAGTCAACGTTTCTCCAATCTTCTATTGTCCAGTTTTGGTGAGCCTGTGTGAATTGTAGCCTTAGTTTCCTGTTCTTAGCTGACAGGAGCGGCACCCGGTGTGGTCTTCTGCTGCTGTAGCCGATCTACCTCAAGGTTGGACGTGTTGTGTGTTCAGAGATGCTCTTCTGCAGACCTCGGTTGTAACGAGTGCTTATTTGAGTTACTGTTGCCTTTCTATCAGCTGGAACCAATCTGGCCATTCTCCTCTGACCTCTGGCATGAACAAGGCATTTGCGCCCACAGAACTGCCACTCACTGGAAATTTCCTCTTGTTCTGACCATTCTCTATAAACACTAGAGATGGCTATGCGTGAAAATCCCAGTAGATCAGCAGTTTCTGAAATACTCAGACCAGCCCGTCATGCCACGTTCAAAGTCTCTTAAACCCCCTTTCTTCCCCATTCTTCCCCCAACTGCAGCAGATCGTCTTGACCATGTCTACATGCCTAAATGCATTGAGTTGCTGCCATGTGATTGGCTGATTAGAAACTTGCGTTAATGAGCAATTGGACAGGTGTACTTAATAAAGTGTCCGGTAAGCCTCTCAGCTCTAATAACATAGTAAACATAGTAAATGTATTTCTGCACACACACTATAATCAGCTCTTTTACTTCACTGAAAGACTATAATAAAAAAAATAAAAACATTTTGCACAGGCCTGCTTAAAGTGTTAACAGTGCCAACTAATGATCGACAGTAAAAAATACACGTTACCTCTTCCCAACATGGTAAACCAGCAGCAATCAAGAATGCATAATTATATGCGGTCATGGCTTTGCAATCAAAAAATGTGTTTATAATGGAAGTCAATGGGGCAAAAACATCCACCAGCAAAGCAAAAGGGGAGTCAATTTAAACAATACACAAGGGTTAAGTTTCAAAACTGAAATATTACATATTTAATGTGATTATTTATTTATTTATTACTTATTAAAAAATTTATTTAATATTAACCTGCATAATATTTAATGTCAAGATGGTGATGAGCACACATGCAGTTGAAGACAATATTGTTTGTGAAATTTTTATTCTCTTTCAAATGTTTCCCAATTGCTGTTTCTGTTGGTCACACTTTATTTTAATGGACAATCCATGCCATTAACCATGTTGTGTTAATGCTGTTGTGTTTGTTATGCTGTGCTGTGATTGGTCAGGTGTTGCGGGCAGCAGAACAGGCTCATCTGTGGGCGGAGCTTGTGTTCCTGTATGATAAATATGAGGAATATGATAATGCCATCCTGACCATGATGAATCACCCCACAGACGCCTGGAGAGACGCAACTTTTAAAGAGCTCATCGGCAAGGTACACACACACACACACACACACACACACACACACACACACACACACACACACACTGCAGAATGTATGTTATGTCCTCTTTCTCTAACCCTGTTGTCTTCAGCCATATCTTATTCAGTAATCGAATCAGTGACCTTCTTGCTGTGAGGCAACAGTGCTAACCACTGAACCACTGTGTCGCCCTATATGCAAATTACATATACTCATATTTTGATTTCACAAATATTGTGATTTTCATATGTTATGTCATATATGCAACATGCATTTCAAAATAATGCAAAATGAATAAAAAAGAAGCTATTAAATATCATCCCCACTTGCAAAGAAACGCATGCATACAATAGACGCATTTCCACTGTCGGGCCAGTGTGAGGCAGGGCTTATATCGAGCCAGGCCGGGCCAATCGCCCGGGAGGTTGAGCAGTGAGGCTGAAATCATGTCGCGTTTCCACTGTCGGGCTAGTAGCTCGCATCGCATCACACAAACCCCGCCCCCAGAACGTCCCCTGAATCAAACATCACACAGCCCGCCCACTTCAGCGTGAATCAGGCAGATAAAGCACACCATCACATCATCACCAAATCATTCAAATAAAGACAACCGAAACAAACAAATGACACGCTACTGTACAGCATTACATTGTATGTCTATACGCACAGACCTGTGTGTTTCATTCATCATATTCATTTACTCTCCGACCGACTGTTTGCATTGAAATCGAGTGGTCTCACCACTAACGGAGGGACCCAGCGCAGTGAGCGCACCATGCATAATATAAAACCACAGAAATTCTCTGTTAATAAAGACAGAAAAATGAAAAGAAATAAGAAAATCATCAATCAAGAAAACATCCTGGTTTAGATAGACGCTGTCAAACATTCAGCCCAAATACTCCGGAGAGTCCTGAAACATATTAATATTTCCCTATAGGCTGTATGACACTTATATAGGTCCTCTGTATTTAAGGGTGTTTGCACGATATCTTAAGTAAAGAAAAGTGTTACGTATTTCAGCACATAAGAGCAAGTAATAAAATATAGGCTATATTTCGTTGCGCTCATTCACTAATAAAGCTCTTCATGTATTTAAGAAAAAAATATATAGCCTAGCATACAGAAAAAAGGTTGCCTAGTTTCTGCTTTCACTCACCCAAAAAAGGCTCTGTTTGCATAATTTGATTAATATCATCGTATCCAAATACTTAATAAATATTATTTCAAACCTTCTCCGGTGTTTATGGTTTTTAGAAAATATCTAAAATCATTCTTTTTTTTCAGACAGGTCTTTGTAAAATGAAAGTTTAAAACAGTTTAATTCATGTATTGTATATACCCACACTGTTATAGCTTTTGTTTGTTTTATATTGGTTTATTCATTTAATGTGATTTAATTATATCCAATATTTGTAATTCGTTCAATTTTTTCAGTATAACTTAGGCTATTTTATCAAGATATGACACTATTGTTTTGAGCCTACAAAAGTGGACACGAAATTTGTAAAGTTTTATGTCTTTCTGTTTATATTGTGTATTATCTCCAAAATAAATAACAAAAAGAAAAAAAGCCGTGCGGCATCAACAGAGCGATGAAAGGAGCGCACTTTTACTCACTCACATTCACATACAGGCATCTAAATGTGCACAAACACACCTTTTAAACTTGACAAAATCTCTCGAAAACCTTTACTGTCTATTGTGTCTTTAATGTGGTGTAAAGATTATTATGCGTCATTGAAACATCAAGGAGGACGCAGCAAAAAAAAGTCACTTATAAATGAAAACTACTTTATTATTTTATGCAGCAGCCGTACATTTAAAAGGGAAACATAAGAGCGATCATACGCAAAAACACCCCGAGTCTATAAGGCTTGAAGTTTTCTTTCCCTTATTTATTGTTTTGTTTGGTGCATGTACTCATGTACGATCGGAAAACCGTGTCCGCACTCCGCCTCTCCTTTCACTCCACCCCGAAGTCCCAGCTAGCCCTCTTTGGCCCAAGGTATTCGGCGGGCCAAAAAAGGCCGGCCGCTGGCCCCAAGTAAGCCCCGTTTTGGCCCGATTAGGCCCCGGAAGTGACAGTGAAAACACAACTGGCCTTGGCTCACCCTGGCTCACTCGCTTTAGGCACGATAGTGGAAATGCGGCTATTGAATGACCGATAATGTATTGATAAGTGTCTGCCAGAAGCATTATATTTCATTTAAATATCCACTTTGTCACTGATGTTTTTTCCTAAAGAACTAAATTGTCATGGTTTGAGATGTTGAGATTACTGTTATTATTGAGTATTGCTGTTGTGATTCAGGCTGTTTTTCTTGTGTTGTTTTTGTGTGCTGAAGGTGGCGAATGTGGAGCTGTATTATAAATCTCTGCAGTTTTATTTGGACTATAAGCCGCTGCTTCTCAATGATCTGCTCTCTGTTCTCGCTCCTCGACTGGATCACACCAGAGCCGTCAGCTTCTTCAGCAGGGTACCTGAGCACTGATACAAAACACACTCTTATTTAAGTGTTTTTAATTTAATACTGTTTATTAATTTATGTGCATTTGTCATTTTTCATATATGAGAACATCAGATTCTTTCAATTAGTTTTTATTATTTATAATATATTTTATTTTATTTTATTATTAAATTTTATTAGATTAGTTTATTTTAAAAATATATATTTAATTTTTTTATTGTACTTAATTTTTTTTCTTTTTATTTTACAAACAATAAATAACCTTATTGAAATTAAATTAAATTCTTACTTAATTTTTTTTAATTTTATTTTAATTAATTAAATTTTTATTTATCTTGTTTTTTTTTCTTTATTTTCTTTTCTTTTATAATTTTATTTTAGTTTTATTTTAATTTATCTTATTTTATTTTATTTTTTTTACTTAATTTATTTGTTTTTTACTTTATTTTATTTTTGTTTTATTTTATTTTAATTATATTTTTAATAATTTTTCTTTTAATTTTCTTTTATTTTCTTTTATTTTCAGCATGGAACTGTGATTAAAAATACAATTGGGACTTTTTATATTGCAGTTCTGTCTTTTTGTCTTTGTTTCTTATTATATAATTATGAGGTAAACTGATGAGTGAAAAAAGATGTATTCTCATTTTATAAGAATATAAAATGCCGAATTTCAATTAAAAAAAGACAGATTTTATTTTTGCTTGTTGTTTGTACAAGATTTTTATTTCAGTTGTAGAAATAGGCTGCCAGTGTTTGGCTTTGTTTTATAGTGTTTGTGTTTGCAGGTGAATCAGTTGCGGCTGGTTAAACCGTATCTCAGATCAGTGCAGAGTCACAACAACAGAGCTGTGAATGAAGCACTCAACAACCTGCTGACGGAGGAGGAGGACTATCAGGTGAAACACACACACACACACACACACACACACACACACACACACACACTCATATACACACACTCATATACACACACACACACTTCATAATCTGCTCGTCCTCTTCCTCAGGGTCTGCGCTCCTCCATTGATGTGTTTGATAACTTTGACTCCATCTCTCTGGCTCAGCGTCTGGAGACTCATGAGCTGCTGGAGTTCAGACGTCTCGCTGCTCATCTGTATAAGAGTAACCAGCGCTGGACTCACAGCATCCAGATCTGCAAGAAAGACAAACTCTACAAGGTACACACTGACTCCACAACACACACACACACACGATGCAGAGCTCTACACATTTATTTATTTGCAGTAAACAGAACTTGCACAACATTAACAAAAGTAAGTGTTCCATCCATCCATCCATCCACCCACCCATTCATCCATCCACCTGTTCATCCATCCGCCCATCCATTCTTCTATCCGCATATCCACTCTTCCTTCCGCCCATCCATCTATTGATTTATTCTGCCCATTGATTCTTCCATCTGCCCACCCTTCCATCCATCTATCCTTCCACCCATTCATTCTTTCATTCCCTCATCCATCCATCCCTCTGCCCATCCATCCATTCCGCCCATCCATTCTTCCATCCTCCCTTCCAGTCTTCCATCTGCCCATCCATACAGCCGACCATCCATTCTTCCATCCGCCCATCCATTCTTACATCCATCCATTCTTCCATCCGCCCATCCATTCTTACATTCATCCATTCTTCCATCCGCCCATCCATTCTTACATCCATCCATTCTTCCATCCGCCCATCCATTCTTACATTCATCCATTCTTCCATCCGCCCATCCATTCTTACATCCATCCATTCTTCCATCCGCCCATCCATTCTTACATTCATCCATTCTTCCATCCGCCCATCCATTCTTACATCCATGCATTCTTACATCCGCCCATCCAGTCTTACATCCATCCATTCTTCCATCCGCCCATCCATTCTTACATTCATCCATTCTTCCATCCGCCCATCCATTCTTACATCCATCCATTCTTACATCCGCCCATCCATTCTTACATCCATCCATTCTTACATCCGCCCATCCTTCCATCGATTTATTCTACCCATCGATTCTTTCATCCGCCCACCCATTTATCCATCCACCCATCCATTCTTACATCCGCCCATTTATCCATCCATCCATCTGCTCATCCATCCTCCATCTGCCCATCCATCCTTCCATCTGCCCAACCATCCATTCTGTCCATCCTTCCATCCACCCATCTTTCTATCCACCCATTTATCCATCCATCCATTCCACCAATCCATCCATCTATCCTCCCATCTGCCCATCCTTCCATCCACAGACTTCAACAGAGTGTTCTTGAAGTCTTCTTGGCTGTGTTTTGGATCATTGTCTTGCTGAAATGTCCACCCTGGTTTCATCTTCATCCTCCTGCTAATGTAGATGTTGGACTGAAGCAGCTGATCTTCATTTACACTGAGGAAGGGCAGAGGGTTGCTGAACAACTGAGAGATTTCAGCTGCTGTCTGGGCCTTCACTGCAGAACTATACCACCCTTTCTTCATGTGTTTAACACTTTTACACTGCGTCATTTCACTTTATTACACAGAACTTCATTTATAAACTAATTTAATTAGGTTTTTTCTTTGGTTGTTACCAACATCTAGGAAAAAATTTTCAAGTCCACGGCACCTTTAGAAAAATGTTTTCTGAGAAAAATGATGACTTGTTCAATACTTATTTTACCTGCTCTGTCTGTCTGTCTGTCTGTCTTTTATATATTATTCTGTGTGTGTCAGGATGCGATGCAGTTTGCGTCAGAGTCTCAGGACGCGGCGGTGGCTCTGGATCTGCTGCGCTGGTTTGTTTCAGAAGGGAAGCGCGAGTGTTTCGCCGCGTGTCTCTTCAGCTCATATGACCTGCTGCCGCCGGACGTGGTGCTGGAGCTCAGCTGGACACACACACTGATGGACTGCGCCA